ACGGGTGATTTTTTTGAGGTTAGGATTTTCATGCATTAGTATTTGACAGATCACGTGGGATTTCAGACATGGTGTCAAAGAGAAAGATGCTCAGTATGCTTTGAAATTTCATCATGAATAGACTTACTAACGAGCAACGCTTGCAAATCATTGAATTTTATTACCAAAATCAGTGTTCGGTTCGAAATGTGTTTCGCGCTTTACGTCCGATTTATGGTCTACATAATCGACCAAGTGAGCAAACAATTAATGCGATTGTGACCAAGTTTCGCACTGAGTTTACTTTATTGGACATTAAACCAACCACACGAATGCGTACAGTGCGTACAGAAGAGAATATTGCGTCTGTTTCTGAGAGTGTTGCTGAAGACCGTGAAATGTCGATTCGTCGCCGTTCGCAGCAATTGGGTTTGTGTTATTCGACCACATGGAAGATTTTACGCAAAGATCTTGGTGTAAAACCGTATAAAATACAGCTCGTGCAAGAACTGAAGCCGAACGATCTGCCACAACGTCGAATTTTCAGTGAATGGGCCCTAGAAAAGTTGGCAGAAAATCCGCTTTTTTATCGACAAATTTTGTTCAGCGATGAGGCTCATTTCTGGTTGAATGGCTTCGTAAATAAGCAAAATTGCCGCATTTGGAGTGAAGAGCAACCAGAAGCCGTTCAAGAACTGCCCATGCATCCCGAAAAATGCACTGTTTGGTGTGGTTTGTACGCTGGTGGAATCATTGGACCGTATTTTTTCAAAGATGCTGTTGGACGCAACGTTACGGTGAATGGCGATCGCTATCGTTCGATGCTAACAAACTTTTTGTTGCCAAAAATGGAAGAACTGAACTTGGTTGACATGTGGTTTCAACAAGATGGCGCTACATGCCACACAGCTCGCGATTCTATGGCCATTTTGAGGGAAAACTTCGGAGAACAATTCATCTCAAGAAATGGACCGGTAAGTTGGCCACCAAGATCATGCGATTTGACGCCTTTAGACTATTTTTTGTGGGGCTACGTCAAGTCTAAAGTCTACAGAAATAAGCCAGCAACTATTCCAGCTTTGGAAGACAACATTTCCGAAGAAATTCGGGCTATTCCGGCCGAAATGCTCGAAAAAGTTGCCCAAAATTGGACTTTCCGAATGGACCACCTAAGACGCAGCCGCGGTCAACATTTAAATGAAATTATCTTCAAAAAGTAAATGTCATGGACCAATCTAACGTTTCAAATAAAGAACCGATGAGATTTTGCAAATTTTATGCGTTTTTTTTTAAAAAAAAGTTATCAAGCTCTTAAAAAATCACCCATTATATGGCGCAGAAGCATGGACAATGACAACATCCGATTATGTGGCTCGTGGAGTATTCGAGAGAAAAATTTTGCGTAAGATTTACGGGCCTTTACGCGTTGGCGACGGCGAGTACCGCAGACGGTGGAACGATGAGCAGTATGAGCTTTACAACGACATGGACATGGTGCAGCGAATTAAAATACAGCGGCTCCACTGGCTTCACCAAGTCGTTCGAATGGACACCGACGCTCCGCCTCTGAAAGTATTCTGGCTTCACTTGTCATTTCCAATTCGCGTCAGTTGGCACAGAAGAGAAACGACTGGTGTGCTTTATTGAACTCGGCCAAAATCGCTTTGGCGGTTACAGCGCCAAATAACAAGAATAAGAAGAGAATAGATCTATAACCTTATCGGTCACACGGTGTTATAATCCCGACGAAGTCCTTGACTTTGGTACCGGGAGAGGAACGATACATGACGGTAGGAAGTTTAGTTTGGGTTAAAGTCACACACTGACGGGGTTAGGTTTATATCAACTTTTGTGAACTTCTGTTCATGTGTTTTTATACAACATATTTACCTGTATTGGTGACAATAATTTTTAGCTTTAATAAACTATTTTTTAGGAAGTAAGTTATTGGTTTTGAATTTTTATTTTTTTTTGTATAGGCGGTCCACCCCGGACTGATCCGGATTTAGTCTGTTTAAGCTTTAAGCCAATGAGACTGATGGAAACAAGCCACTGTTGTGTAAAAGCACTGCCTTAAAACCAATTCTAAATCGCGTACAAGATCTTTAACACCAGAGTGCACGCGCTCTTTTTTACACCAATGCACGCGTGGCTTACTATAAGCAGTAGACCATTTTAAAATGTCAATAAATGTATTTTAGATAACATTTAAATGAAACTTATAGTTAAAAAATATAGTTAAATCTATTACGTTTACGATCACAAACTTAAATTTTTTCATAGCAAGTAGAAATTAAAAAAAAATAAATAAAAATTTAGTTATGTAACAGAAAAAATAAGAATAATTTTACTTCTTAGATCAATGTCTTGCATTTTCTTCTTAAACCAATATTACTTAAAAAACTATCAGGTTTTGTAACACTGAGTGCCCACTGCAGGCTGGTGATCAGGACAAATCCATTTGTTACAAGTCTTGCACCACTTTTTTGTGGATGGACTTAGAGCTCTGGTACAATAGGTGAACGGACCAACTAAAATTCGGTATTACATCGTGCTGTACTTCTTTAGCTTCCCTATTCCAAATTTTAGTAGCTGCTATCCACCTAATCGTTGTGTTAGGGAATCCAAAAATTTCTATTTTTACTGCGGACGGTAATATTAAAATTTTCATCAATTTTACTAGAGGGGCTCGATAAGAATCGTGATTTTAGTGGAAGAAATATTTGGTCTTAAACTTTTGAACTTAATTAGTTTTAAAAATATTTCTTGGTTTTTTCCCATGCTCCAATTTTGTTTTTTTAACCGACTAAAAACCAGGATGAAGGTTATCAATTCATCGGAATATACATATATTTTTTATGTATGTTACCGGATAACTTTGGACCACGTGAACCCTTTTCGATAATTCTTTTTCTATCGGAAAGATGTCTCATCAGAAAGGTGGTCCCATACTAATTTGGTTTAGTTCCGATCATCGTGTTTTGAAAGAAATTAGGGGTACCCCAAAATTTTTATATGAGCATTAAAGTCTGTTGTACTTTTTGCTTAAAAATTATTTAAAGTAACGAAAATATGTAGGACCGAAAATGGGATCGAAATAGTTGACAGTTGCACAGAAGGTATTTCATGGAGGTTCACGATAGGAAGGCGGCATTTTTCACAGTGCACAGTGGCTGGATTCTGTAACTGTGACTTTTCAAGTGTACACTGAAAATTATATACATTCTTCATTTTGCGATTCAGGAAGTGTGAGAATGAGTTTCAGCTGTCAGAATTGTGTACACTTCTCTTCTGAAAAACTCTGTGGTAGCATGCAACTAGAGTTGTAGTTCGTTCGCCTCAGTGAACTAGTTCTTTAGTTCGTATAGTTCATTTAGTTCAATTGACGAATCTTATTTTAAACAAAGCTCAATTACTTTTATTATCATTACGGTGACCAGATTTCTGTGGACGATAATCGGGACATTTTTAAAGCATCGGATCCGAATATACAATTTCGTTTTTAGAATAAAAAACACATAACATCTTTTAATATTTTTATAGTTTTATTTAAAACAAAACGAGGAAAAAAACTTTTAAAATTATCGCAAAAATGTATACACACAATAAATATGTCCGATGGCGAGAATGTAAATAACGAAAAGACATTTTAGCAAGTTTTGGCTACTTTTCTGTGTATAAAAATGTTCATTATTTTTTTAATGAAAATATAACTTACTGTCTAAAACACATGTAAATCAAAATCTCAAACTTTATAAAACATTTATAAAAATTCTACGAATTTTAACAATTGTTGCTCAAAATTTTCTCGAATTTTTTTTTAAGTATGCAGTTTTGTATCCCATTAAATTGTTGTATAAAAAGTCCAAAATTGAAAATTTGTCTTCGTTGTTCGCGCATATTCCTCCAAACAAAGTATGTTCAGCAATTTTTTTGTATAGAGAAAATGAGTAACATCTCCCACAAAACAAAATTACCAAAAATCTACGGTATGTCCAAGCTACTTAAAATTTACACTTTGAATTGAATGGGCTACAAAACTGCCTACTTAGAATGTTTTTGAGAAATCTAAATAAAGAGCTCAAAGTTTGGATAAAATTTTGTCGAAGTTTGAAGCTTTGTGCAAAGTTTGAAACTTCGACATAAGTGGTCTTTGCTAACGAGCTAACGTTCATAAAAAAATAATAAGTATTAAATAATCGCCAAAGAATTCTAAAATGATTTTTTTGAGGGAATTAGTATTTTTTTTTTTTAATTTAACTAACTAAAAAGAACTTAACAAACAATTATACAAGTGATTTTTAAGCAAAAAACAAAACCGACTTCAATTCAAATATAAAAATTTAAGATAACAGTCAATTTCTTAATGATCTAATGATCGGACCTAAAACAAATTAATTCCTTTAAAAAAATAATTCTATAAATCTGTGAGAATGTGCAAAATTATGTGGTAGCATACATAAAAAAAAATATTCAGACGAATTGATAAACACTTATACGTCCCGACTTTTAAAAAATATTCAGCGGGGTAGTTTTCTTAAAATCGGCACTGTCCCGCCAAAATCGGGACGAATGGTCACCGTAATTATCATACATTCATACAAAACAAAAAATTGTGCAATAACATTAAATTAGAAAGCTTGTTTGTTTTAAAAGCGTTCCACGCTAGTTTAATAATTGCGTAAAAACTCGATGCGATCCAAAATAAGAAATAGTAATACTGTCAAATTTAGTTCAATTAAGAGACCGAAATAGCGAGTTCATTGAGTTGAACTAGTTCTTTAATTCATTTAGCACAAGGACTACCCAAGCCTACATGCAACAGTCACTTATTTCGAGTTAAGAATGATTTGAGTACCGGTCTAGGTAGATTGGTTCGCAAGAAATTAATTTCGTAACTCTGTTCAAAGTTTTAAGATTGATTCCATATTAGTGCTAAAAATGCGTGCACAGTTTTGCTTCAGAATTATGTTTTTTTAAGCTGCTCATTGGTTCCGCTGCTCTTCCATAAGTATACTCACCCAATTCCTGGAGACCTAATGCAGTGTTTGACGGAGGCTCCGTTGAGGGGCATTGAATGGGCATATCCATCATTTGGGGGTGTGGAGAATGACCTTGTGAATGGGCACTACCAACACTCCCGTTTGTACCATAGTAGCCGCCATAGTATCCATTAGATGTGAATGAAGCGCTAATGCCATTCGGTGTATTTACCGGCGGTGGGTAGACTCCGTTTCCCAGTGGTGTCACAGGCTCAGAATGTACCGCTCCTGCCGATATGAACTCCGGCGGCACCGAATGCACCGAAGCCGTGTGATGACCATAATATCCAAGGCTTTGGTGGTGATGATGGGTAGGCGTTGGAGCGTAGTTGCTGTAGCCATTATTGTGATGATGACCTGAGAGGGCGCTATTTGTGTGTGAATGCGGGTGGGGAGGATTGTGAGCGGCAGCGGAATGATGGTGAGCAGCGGCCGCCATGTAATCATTAACGATATCGGCAGGGTGAGAAGCATGGGGATGTGTAGGCATACCAGGAGGCATACCACTCCCCATAGCAACACCTACACCTGACATGTGTCCTGTTGATGCCGTCATCGTGTAATGACCATTGTAGTGATGGTAGTCATCAGCAACGGGAGGAAATTTCGGGTCTAAACCACTACCCATACCCATGGGGCTTTGAACATGATGCGGCGCGTGTGGATAACCCATTAAAAATGAGCTCATAGTGACTCAAAGTTGCAGCTAAATTTTTTTGTTTTTGCACTTTCAAATAAGTGTGTATGTATACGTTCTTTTTATGATCAACTTTGTGTTTGGATTAATTGGCGAGAATATTATAACCTTGATGCCAAATTAAATTAGTCGTATCTTTTTGTAACGCACGATCTTGGTTTCATTGAATTCACTGCACAGTTTTTGACGTAGGTAGAAATAGTGAAGCTTTTTTCGCTGTATTTTATTCAACCTTTTTATTTATCATGGCCTAGATAATACATATTTTTGCTAAAAACATTGATTTATAACAAATAATATTTTAACATTTTTCATTTTTCATTTTCTTCTTCACTTCACCTTTGAAATAAACATGCGTTATAATTATGACACTGGAATTTTCTTACATAGGTACTTTAACAATTATGTGTAAATGTAGCAAGAAGCAACAAAATTATAATTGGATATATATTGTAGTATGTATTGAACCGATTCGTTTAAGCGCGACGGTAGAATCCATTTCGATTCACAAAGTAATTGCGCGATTAATAAATAAACGTAATATATTTCGCTGCTGCTGCGCGACAAAACTGAAAAGTACGCTTTCAAATACGCGCACAGTCCGATTCCTACGTTCCGTCCGGTCTGTTCATGACAAGCCGTTCTTTTGTTGTGCATGACTCGCTGCCACTCGACAGCCCGCGAACCTGTTCCCCTTGTCAGTCATTCAGTCAGCCGTTTGGGTTAATTCGTTGCCGTCCGACAGTATCTGCCGACAGTATGCTTCGTTCGAAGCGCTCCATAATTTGCCATAAAACCCGATTTTCTGGTTTTCATACAAAACCTTACATCCATAGGTAGATCTGAGAGCGACACAAGTTAGGGGATATGGTACTGCCCACACGCATTCAATTTGAAGACATAGCGGTGCCATTGCTACATACGCTGTTGTTGCGAACTGTGTATACACGCCATTTTTCCCACCACCATCACACAACAATGTGTGCTGATTCTTTGCTGCGGAAACGAGCCAGCAGTATCTGAGGGAACGAAACAGAAGGCGTTAAACACTCCTCCATGTATGCTAAGCGAGGGAAATATTCAATCTATTACAATTTTACAGTGGGCTAACTAGGAATGGTTTGTGATAGCGTAAATAGTTTTGAATTCAATTATTATATGAAACGGATATTTACGATCATTTTTTGGCGGATTATATAAAATATATGTATCATAACCAAACAATTTCATAAACTATTTAGCAACTGAATATTGATGCTTGAAGAATATCAATGTAATTTGAAAGTCGTTCACTTTATTTCTTTTTGAAAATTATATAGAAGTGTTAAGCATGAAATCGCTTATGAGTACATAAGCACCTAACACATTTTATATACATATGTATTTATTAAAAAACAAAAGTGTTTATAAGTAGATTCTTTTTCGTGCACAAAATAAAACGTACCTACCGAATTAATTTAATAAAATATTCATATGAAACACAGTTATTCTTGAAAAACATAATGGCCTTACAATGATGTCTTGATAGCCAAGAAGTCCTTCCAAATAGGCTAAATTGTATTTGGATCTTACTTTATTAAAGCTAGTTTTACTATAATAATAATAACAATAATAATAATAATAATAATAATAATAATAATAATAATAATAATAGTACTAATAATAGCTGCAGCCGTGGTGTAGTGGTTAATAATGCCCACTACCACTACCAATTTCCGACTAGCATCAAAAACAAAAGGAAAGAAAATGTGTTTTACTTAATAGCGCGCCTCGGCAGGCAATGGCAACCCTCCGATTGTATTTCTGTCATGAAAAACCAGTTTCCAATAAAAAATACAATCGCCGCTCAAAGTCGGTATAAATTGGTATCCCTCCCTCCCCTTTGTGTGACAAGGCGCACGCCACAAATCGGCCAAACTATTATTATTAACAAATATATTTATTTAAAGTTTTACGCTGCCTCCGAACGGCGATTGTTTTTGTTTTCTAATATGTACGTATATACATACATACATATGTACATTTGTTTGTAAACGAAAAATTTTTCTCCATGCATACCATACGTACTTATTTTTTGATCAAAGCAAAAGGGAGTGATAAAATATAAAGCAATTTGAAAACAAATTTCGGCTCTGCAAGGTTGAAATGGTATTAAAAAACCAAATTTGCTAAATTTTGTGTGTGGCATTTAAATCTCACAGATTTTCCATCTATTTTTTTTATATTTGGAACGGAAAGGTTTAGTTTTAGATATGGAGAAACATCGATTTTTGGCAGTATCGATGTTTTCGGGGTTGAAAGAAAAACATCTCTTTTTTTAAATTTGAGAATTAGGCTAAATTATAGGCAATGTTTACACACACGCGCCACGGTCACTTTTACCGTAGATCCACGTTAAAAATTACTGTAGATCGACGGTAAAATTACGTGGATTATGTGTTGCCGGAGAAGTGAATTCTCCTTTCTGTGTGACAGAACTTCCTTCTGCGTAGGCGGCCTTCGGCCGCACTTACAGATTATAACCCTTACTACTCAGAATTCTCCTTTCTGTGTTTCCGAGTAAGTGGGACAGAACTTCTTTCGGCGCAATTTTACCGTGGATCTAAAAGGATTGAGTTCAAAAATTACTTATGTATAAATAAGGCGCGTTTTTAAAGCCTTTTAAAAATTATTAATATAAAAAAGCTGGCATTTCAGGGTACTATTTTATATATGTATAAAGAAAATTTGAAAGTTAGGGGGCTCGAGCACCTGGCTACGCCCATGAAAATGTTTGCTCAGAAAACAGTTGTCTCTCGCTCCCTCTTAACAAAAACCGCGTCTTCAGCAAGGCACCGTTTGTGTAAGGGAGTGTCAAAACTCTAATGTCACTAGTGTGAAAACCTTTAATTATTTAATCATGTGAATGAGGTGCGCTTTTATAGTCTTAAATATTATTAAGATTTTTGCTGACTTATGAACAATTGCTTAATTTTACCTTTTTACGCTTCAAATAAATATAGCTTGCAATTTGCAAAAACATCGATGTTGAGAAAAAAACATCGATGCTAGCAGCTCATATAAAAACATCGATGTATCGATGTTTCCGTCGATGCTATGAGTTATAGCAATTACATATTTTATCCTGGATAAATTGACTAGGAATCAACGCATAATTACTTTAACGTAAAATTTAGTTGACCAGTATGGACCTTCTCAAAAATGTCACACAAAGAGGAGGGATCTATAGTTATACGCCGACTCCGAACGGCGATTGTAATTTTACGGGAGGCTGTTTTTCATGGCAGAAATACACTCGGAGGTTTGCCATCGCCTGCCGAGGGGCGACCGTTGTTAAGAAAAACCTTTTTTCTATATTTTTTGCGATGGTGCTTTGACCAGGGCTTGGACCCAGGCCTTGCGGAGTGGTAGCACGCATTGCTTACCACTACACCACAGCGGCCGCCATGCCTCAATGAATGAAAATAAATATTTTTCACTTCTGTAAAATTATTATTTCATGCAAAAACTTAACGCAGAAACGGGAAAATATGCTTTTCGCTCATTTATAACATGCTCCTGAACACTGTGCAATCATGTTTACATGTTTATTCTCCTCTTTCAGATATGTAATAGATTTCCAAAAACCTTTTTGTCCATTAACACCCTGCTTCTGTCGAATTTGATTTATGTCTGCATGGGGACGCTACCTCTAATGGCGCATGAACAAAACTCGCCAATTCATCAGACTCCTCCCCCTCAAGCGAAGTGGTAAATACCGTGTTGAAAAACTCATATTAAGATTCTTGTCTTCGCTGGCAAACATTACACGTATGTACGATGGGTCAGACTGGAAAATGTGAATAAAAAGTTGTTTTTTTTAATATTTAGAAAAATCGATTAAAAGAAATTTCACTTGCAAGTATTGTAAGCATGTATCTACAAATAAATTCGTAGATATATGTAAGTAAATGAATGAAAGGCGTGAATTTGTGAATATATTGTACCTGCGCACGTTCATGCAAACATATGTATTTACATATCTACATACTTGCGTGATACCTACGAATATGCTTAGATATGTATGTACATAAATATGTACGTCTCTATGCTTGTATTAGCATACATAATATGTAGGTTCATTTATTCATTGTTTAGGCCCCTTTTCCATTTCGTAACGATTTTTCGTTTAACTCGTAATATGGTATTGATTTTCAAAAAACTTTTTGTGAAGTTTTTGGCTACTGTTTGGTAGCATTTGAAATTGGGCTGACTTGCAATAAATTGTTTACAATTCAAACCGCGTGCCTTTGCTGTTTGAATGCCAACTTTGTTATTGTAATGCACATACATACATATATAAGTATGTATTTCATTCATTAATCTAAAGTTACACACCCACTTACTTATATATCTGTACCTATTATTTCTAATTAGAACGTACCGTCTACTCTGCTGTCAATGCTGCCATAAATATTGCAAGCAACAGAACCTTTCAATTTTTCCGATTTCGCTGCAACAATAACTGATGGGCAGGGCTGGCAAAAAGTTATTTTAAGGGCGTTAAAAAGCTCGATTAGTAAACAAAATACTTAAATATGCTAAATCAATGAAGTTTTATTTCAATTTTTCAATATTTGTTATTTAATAATATTGCAATTTCAGTATAAATTTAGATGCTTTTTTAAACTGTTAATAAAGAAAAACCTCCTGTCATTTAAAATTATTGAATAATTCGAAAAACTTCTTTCCACATCCGTAGATGCAGGTAGTTGGTTTATAAGATTCTTTTTCTTTAGGCAACTACGCGTTCGGTCGGCATCGCCTTGATCGCTCCATATACATATTTACAAATCGATATATGCATCATCTGTCGTTTCGTTGTCCCCGAAAATGTACAATATTGTTGTCATGTATAAAAAATATGCACATGTGTCAAATATATGCACAAACCAACATAACTGCCAGATATGTGCAAAATAAGCCCTTTCAAGCGTGTTCTTAGAATTGTTAGCCCTGCTGATTAGGGGTGGAGAAACATCGATTGTGGTGAAAAACGGGTGTTCAAAGTGCAAATTAAGTTGGTTCTTAAAGTTAGCTGTAGCTTTTTTGACCGTTAACCCACTAAAAATTATGTCAAAAAGCCGCAAGTGGCTTTAAGTATGAACTTAATTTTGACTATGAATACGCCCCAAAATGTTTTTGCGAATGACACACATCAAATAGATTTTTTGTTGCGCTATTTCCTTCTGCGTAAGTAATATACAGTTTTGGTCATATCTATAGCACGCCATTTCAAAGTGATATTGTGTGCCACTTATGTTTATTTATTTATTTTTAAGAATTTTCAATTAAAATACAGTTCTTTCTCTAACAAACCCCATATAAACCCAAGTTTAACAATTTATAGAAAACTTCAAAAAAGTGCAACAAATTTTCACCTAAGTTTCAAACTTTTTTCTCGGAAGTGTTAGATTTTTTTCGAGTACACAGTTTTTTAGCCCCTGCAATTTTAGTCTGATAATATGCAAATTTCAAGTCGGACCATATAATGAATAAACTCAGTTTATTTGTATATGGAGGAAAGCCGCAACACTTTTGGAGAAAAAAGTTCTAAAAAATCAACGGTAACTTTCAGTCACTTGAAACTTGCACA